TCTATATCTATATCTATATCTATCTCTCTCGCTCTATCTATCTATCTATCTATCTATCTATCTATCTGTGGCCCCGATGGAAATCCTCTCGATTCAGGTACTGAAGAGCGACTTAATGCACTACGACCGGGACGGCGAAAACATCTCGATGGACCATATACAAGCTTCACTTGTCGAATCCTTGAATTTATTGGCTGATCCGAACAACGGGCTGGGCTTCACAGTGCATGTGGTTGCCGGGAAAGGAGATTGGAAATTTCGCAAGGAGTGGTTGAAACAAAGCAGATTTTATGGCAACGCTTGTTCTGGGAAAGATGGGCTATGCCAGAGGTGTCTTGCGTCGAAAACTACTTGGCTGGATCCCTTGTACGAAAGGTTCAACAACACAGCGGACCTTGCGACTGCACGCGCATCGGCTGTGGGAGAAATACAGTTGACAAAGCTTGCTGGGTGGTGCTCCGACATGGAAACTGCTGATGTTCTTCATTGCTGCTGGTTAGGCTGCGGCCGCGACTTGAACGGCAGTTTGTGTATGCTGGCAGCGCGGCATTTGTTTCCTGGTGCAACCTTTGACGAGTGTCTTCGAGCTCTTCGAAAGGACATGCAACTTTGGTGCCAGGATCATGGTATCCGAGCTTCGACGATCGACGACTTGAGAATCTCAACCCATAAATTTCGATCTTTTCCAACTTTTGGCAACTAGGTGCAACTATCGGAATATCTAATAAACTCTTCTATGTATATTGTCGTCGCAGTAGACAGACAAGGCTTGTCCAGGATGGGCGTAGATGCTGTCAGCCTGGACTATCCTTTGGGACCAAGCAAAGGATATGAGAACAAAGTGATGAGCCTTGTACGATATTGAAGTATAGGGTTTCTTATTCTGTACTTCATTCCGCTTTCAGTGTTCTTTTTTTCGAGGATAGCCTACTTCGCCGAGAAATTGCGAGCATCTGGACTCAGATCGGGAAGCTTTTGTTGCAGATGTGAAAACCCCTGAAAGCCTTCAAACCTCATCAAACCGCAAACCCTAAACCCTAAACCCAAAACCCTCCCTGAACCCTAAACCCTAAACCCTATACTCAAGGATGTTCCAGACTTCGAGATGCAGTACACGTGTGTGTGGGCGCTGCACAACGCTGGGGCGATTTGTGATGAGGCTGGTATATGGTTTTCCGACTCCGAGCGGATTGCTTTTGTAGAGTTACACAGTCGCAAATATTATTGGACTTTTTGGGTGGGGTTTGAAAGACATGGTTCAATCGTGTCAACAGTAATATTTCTACCTGTAATTAAGGGTTTTGTGTTGAAAATCTATGTTTCAATCTTACATAAGGAGTGGGCGAATGTTCGTGCAGACCTATGTCGCTCTGGCCGCAGAGGCACTCCGCAACAATATGCCACTGTTTCTCGAACCGATTTCAGATTTGGCTTTCAAGGTTTCTTTTTTCCACAGATTGGCTTTATTCGGCTTCTGAAATCCTACAAAGGTTCAAAGTACGCCCAAAGCTGCACCAATATCACTGCTGCGTGGTATTGCGGGCTGACACATCTTATTGGAACCCCAGAAATTCTTCTTGTTTCACGGAAGAAGATTACATAGGGTGCTTCTGCAGAATGATCAAGGGGAGCATTCACATGTCGAGTGTGGGCAGGCGTGCCCTGGAAAGATGGTTGCTGCACTTTAACGCCGATCGGGCAACTCGAAGCGTGCGGAGTGTGCAGTGAACTCGAAGCGTGCGGAGTGTGCAGTGTAAACAGTACGTGTCGCGGGTCCGAGGGCTGTGCGGTCTAAACCCCAAACTTCAAGAAACCAGATCCCAGCCGAAACCCCAGAACAATCCCGAAAGCAACCCGAAGCCCCATGGAAAGGCTAATGTGTTTAACCCTAAACCCTAAACCCTAAACCCTAGACCCTAAACCCTAAACCCTGCCGAAACCCCAGAACAATCCCGAAAGCAACCCGAAGCGTGAGTGTGTGGGAGAGTGTCCCGAAACCCTAAACCCTAAACCCTAAGCCCTAAGACGTTCAGGGTGTTCAGGGTGTGAGTGTGTGGCCGGGAGAGTGTCCCTAAACCCTAAACCTTAAACCCTCAACCCTAAGCCCTAAGACGTTCAGGGTGTGAGTGTGTGGGAGAGTGTCCCACCCTAAAACCCTAAGCCCTAAGACGTTCAGGGTGTGAGTGTGTGGGAGAGTGTCCCTAAACCCTAAACCCTAAACCCCTAAGCCCTAAACCCTAAACCCCCGTGTGTGAAGTAAGTGTGTGTGTGTGTGTGTGTCTGTGTGTGTGTGTGTTTGTTTGTTTGTTTGTTTGTTTGTTTGTTTGTTTGTTTGTGTGAGCTCGTTCTTGTGAGCGTTTGGGGGTGAGTGTGTGTTTGTGAGCTAGTACTGAGTGTTTTTTAGTGTGTGTGCGTGTGTGTGTGTGTGTGTGTGTGTGTGTGTCTGTGTGTGTTTGCACGTACGTGTCTAGTATGTATATATACATATATATATATATGTACACGTATATATGTGTATCGTGTATGTATATGTCTGTATATATATATATATGTTTGGATGTATATGCGGCTGCGATCCCGCACTTTGCAACGGAAACACACATGTACACAGATTTTTGCCGTAGTTTTGAAGGGCAATCACATCATATCAGCAATATTGGCTCGGCCTGATGCTCCTGATGCTCACTGCTCCCGGACACAACCTTGCCAAGTACAAAATTAAGCACGCGCAGGTTTCAAGTACAAAAAAAAAGAGTACTTAGAACAAAAAACGACAAAGGACAGGTCTGCAGGCTCTAGATGTGGAAGCCAAACACCCGCAGATGCGACAGATCCCTACAGGTTGTCTAACGGTTGTCTTGAGTTTTCTAGGACTCTAGACTCGTTTGTGGTCGTGCGCTGCGTTGTCATGCAGGTACAGAGCAGGACGGTAACATTGCAAGGCAAGCTGCTAAATCTCGGAGCCAACACCAGGAGCAGCTATACCATTGGCTGAGCGACTTGGCATATCATGGTAAACGGCTTCATACTTAAGATCTGAAATGACATGCCAATGTCCTTTGTTGTTCAACACCGAGAACCCATTTGCTTCACACAAGTTCTTCGTAATATAAGAAAGCTGAGACATGTTAGACTAAATATGATGAACCATAACTCAAACAGACCGAGTTCAGCAAGTGAAGGTACGTGCGTTGATCTTAAACTGTCGGTATCCTGATGTCACAAGCTTCCAGTAACGCACAGTGCTTTCACCCACTGAGCTGAACACTGTTGGAATGTATGCCGGCAAGTTGAACCGATCGCATGCTCTCAGCTGAACTGACGGACGTGTGCCGGGCCCACGGGTGACCCTGCATCACCGCAAGCCGAAACTGTGGCAGCTGAGCACGTCAATGACACAGTGAGTCCCGTGAAGCCGCGAGGCCACGCTGATGGATCAAAAGTTAAAGTAATCTCACACTGAGGGGGGAGCTGGAAGCAGTGAGTTAGGTTCCCTGTTGACTTGCGTCAAATCAACTTGTAATCTGCCGAATCATCATGAACCACATTTGTCATAGATCTGTCTCTATCCAGATTTCTGTACAGCAGGAGGCTTTACAGTAATGCAGGACCATTCGAGGCAGGAGCAATTCTGGATACCTGTGCTACAAGCAAAACTGCCTGCTGCATACGTGAGACGTTGCAACCTCCGAACGAAGGCATTGATGGTACTTCATACAAATACAAATACAAATACATACACACACACATACACATACACATGCACATGCACATGCACATGCACATGCACATGCACATGCACATGCACATGCACATGCACATGCACATCCACATCCACATCCACATCCACATCCACATGCATGTACACGTACACGTACACGTACACGTACACGTACACGTACACGTACACGTACACGTACACATACACATACACATACACATACACATACACACACATATACATATACGTATACATACACATACACACACATACACAGATATATATATATATATATACATATACATATACATATACATAT